CTTCTGGCTTTAAGATCTTTTATCGCTCATGTGTATTGTTTTGCAAGCTCTAAAGTGAGATGTCGGTTGCTTGGACCTCTTGCGACTGAACGTCGGCGTAACAGATTGAGTGTTGATGACGACAGAAGTCTCCTAGTGGTTTTCGAAATGTCAGCTTTTATAGGGATAACGTGATGTTTAATGAATTGATCATATTCCTCATCGAGGATGTCAATGACGACATCGTCTCAATAGCTGAACAGCGATCTAAATAAATTCCTGTCAGTGGTGCTTTTAAGACTTCGTTATCTGAACTCAGCGCCTTTCTCTCTTTTCGGCGAGAAACAGGATCTTGCAGAAAGGAAACGATGGTTCGATCCCATGTCGAATTTTGAGACAACAGCGACATCGGCTAGGCAAATCCATGGGCTTACTATGGTGCGATCTATATGCTTCCTCTCACAGATTTCTCCTATAAAGCGATTTTATGCCTATTAGTCGGGTGCGTACCTTAGTGCTAGATAGGGGTTAATCGAGGACAAAAAGTGACCTTATGCTTTGCTGAAAGGCAGGTACATTCAGGTTATATTTTCGCTACGCCGATGTGACACAAGCCTTCTGTTTTTAAAATAAAATATTCATGCGTTTGTGGGTGTGTTCTCTTCTATACGGAGTGTATTCATCGAGTCAATTTGGCTAAAACCTTGCAGTGAATTCACTGGGAACTATGGGAAATGGAGTTTAAAGTCTCTGATTGTGAACTGTATGTGAGACGGTTAGAAGCCACCTCCGTGAAATAAGCTCCCTGTCTACTCTGCGAAAGAATGGCAGCCTACCCATGAGTACATCCAGCCCACATTTAGAGATCAGGAAGCTTCATGTGAATACTGGAAGCCAAACACAGTTAAATAAAAGTTCCTAACTCCCTTGATCTCGGAACAGCCTCTGACACGGTATATTAGGGTATCGTGCGTAAAACAATAACGGCAATGTAAAGATACGAGCAAAACTCGTAGCCTTAGGTGGCATTCGATCATATGATTCCCCTTCCCGATGGCTCATGTGCTGTCCACGGCACCAACCGGGGCTCTTACTTTGCCTTTCTCTCCGACAGTTTTTTTCACTCCAACGTTGCTACCGGCCATCACCCGTCAACGGTAGTGACCTAGTGGGTGTAATAGGAAGTGAAGTCATTTATGTTGAAGCTACACTCGAAACCGTAATGTTTCAACATGGGATTTCAGGCTTATTAGTTGGTTTCTGTCGAAACATAGATATCGAGTTGTCTTTCCCACGAAGGTCTCAACTTTCGTCATTTCTGCCTCAATTCATTGTTTCACTCTTCGATTTCATCCATCGTGTTTGTGACAATATCAGGAGAGAACGTGCTAAAGAAAAAAAAAGTTGGTAAGTTGGTAAGGCATAAAAGTCGGAATGCTGGAAAAAAGTGGGTAGATCGTCTGTGTGACTATTCATTTGTTGAAGCGAATTTTTTACATAAACAACTCTTTGTCCTTGTTCAGCGACCTTTTACTTAACATCAGCATTTCACGGGTTGTGGAGCCGCGTCTCATCATCACACCCTAATGCGTCCTCGATTTCCTAAACATGGCTGCCTTACCATCAAATAAGTGTATGGGTGACAACAGTTACATATCGACAAGTTTGTGGAGACGAAGAACTAGCTAACTGAGTAAAGGTACCGCTATTTTCCACACTTATATTATTACTGTTACATTTAATATTGAACTAGTTGTTATTATAATCGCTCGTATTCAATAAAGGACCAAAGCGATTTTCTCCTATAAAAATAATTGACACTTTCTCTCAATCTGTACCCACAATTGAAGTTTCATTAAAAGTTTAAGTTCGTATTCTCAATACCGAAAAGTTATCGGTTATTGTTGAAAAACCAGTGTGCTCTCGAAAGCGTCAAAATGTTTTTAATGCAACATTTGAGTTGCAGGTTCTTAACGTCGCAGATGAAACTGGAATTCCGAATAAAAGGCATAATTTTTTCAATCTCTTCTTTACTTATATGGCATAAAACGTATTTGGTTTTTAAATGGGTGTTCATATTCATTCTAAAGAGCAGAACAATGGAAGAAAATGGAATGATCGCACTGGATTATGTGACGCCCGAAGCGATTCGGAGTGAAGAAATTGGCGATGTAATTTATCGGCAGAAGATAAGGCGTGATTTTTCAGATGTATTAAATTCTTCTAGGAATTCTAATTGTAGTGTGATTTAAACGATTTTCTAGTTCGGGTGGTAACCCTTTTCCATAGTTAGGCGAGTGACGCTTCAGTCTTAGAATGAACTAATGTGAAGTTTCATTGGGAATAAGTTTATATAATATAGGCGTCGAGATGTCCTAAACTTGTGAATCGATCTTTTCTCACACCACTCTTGTTCCTCGCCTGTACTGTGGGCCGCTTTCTTTCCCGCTTTGCTTTCGCGGTGAAGTTTATTGTTTCTCGTCTTTTCTGTTGTTGCAAAGACAAGGCAAGAGCTCCAGTGATGCAGTAGGTAACACACAAGCACCCGAAAGCATAATTGCACAGTCGAATCCAGCATGGTGTTTCATTTTTGCAAATAATTCAGAATCATTTTGGTTGCATTTCACGTAATACAGTGACGTGAAAAAATAAAATACACTAGATAAAAAGTTAAACATTTGTTCTCTCTATTTTAGCCACAGCTCGAATGGGTTCCATGTCGGTTTGTACCCCTCAGATAAGTGACATTGACAGGTGACTGCTGATAACATCATTAGAATAAAAAATTGTCTTAGAGAAAGCGAAAGCGAGAGCCTCAATGGTTCCGTGGGTAACACGTGAGCATCTGAAAGTATGGTCGAGAGTTTGAATCTCGTCTGTGATCTAATGTTTGCAAATCACTGGGTGTCACTGTAATGATATTTAGCACACTACAATACCCCAAAAAGTGTTAGGTGTTAGATAAAAAGTTGAATGCTTGCGTTTTTCTTTGTTGTTTAATTCTTATCGAGTCGTTTTATTTCAATTGGTTTATCCGGTAAGGGCATATGTTCTGATATTCACGTTTTTGCTCCACCGAAAACTTAACAGATTTTAGAACGCTCGTTAATTGTTTCTCCAGATTCTGTCGAAAGCTGATATTTCATTTCTAAGGTGCGCCTTGTAGCAGGCAGTGTGTGATTTTCTCGCTTCAGAGGGCAGTCGAATAGAATCCAAAGCACCGAGTAGATTCCATCGCTTGCAAAGATGATCTACTTGTCGGCGCCCTTAAGACTAATTTTTGAATTATTCATTTTCTCGTTGGTGCTTTCTCGTCATCGGTCAGAATTTTCATTTAATACTATCATGTTCGAGATGTTCACAAACGAGCTGGCGCTAACGAACATTTGGAACATACACACACATTCAAGAACCAATGGTAGGATTTGAAACTTTATTCTACTTTGCTTTCGTCGCAGAAGCGGCCAGCTGTTTTAACTGTTCTATTAGCTTTCGAAGTTTTCCTTTGCAATCTGACTGAAATGCATGAATGTTGTAATTAAATGAAGAACACGGACAAACTGAATTACGGTAACCAACCAGATCGTTTATGGCTATTCTCAATTTCATCTCGGGCTCTAAACACTTCTCATCCTTCACATCGTGGAGAGCTTTCAGCTCTATATCTTTCTCTTTAATCTATGAAAAAAGTTCTTGTGTAAAACGAGAAAAAGTCCTTGAAGTACTAAAGAAGAACAAATCTGAATGCCCCACTTTGCTCCTTAGCAACTCCATCATTTGCTCGATCGAATTACTGCTTTTATGGTCAGTATCCACCTGTGTTCAAGAAATTTATTTTACACTGAACACAAAAAAAGGGAAAAACAACGACGGATGGATAATCAAATCTGATTACGATATTGCATCAGATAAAGTCAACTGTAACTCCGCCAAGTGACAAACCTTGCTGGAGGTGAGAATATCTGACTCAAATCTTTGATCTAGGATGATTAAACAAGAAAACCAGAAAATGTAAACGTAATGAAAACCTTCAATAATTTCTCGCAGTACTCTTCTGCTGTTGAACTCACCTCTTCCAGAAGCAACAAATGCCCGTTCACCGAAGAGAAGCGTTTCATCGAGGATGTAGAGCAAACTTTTATCTCTGGCTGTAAAATTTAAAGCGGCTCAGAAACACGAACATGGTTCGCAGGTAAACAAACCAACTTGATGTTGACATCGCGTTCGAAGCTTGTTGAGCTCATGTTCAAGAAACGAAACCTCAAAATAGGACAATAGTTTGCTTGTGTGATTAAAATTTAGATTGTAATATAAAACACAGTAAGTAAAGTGTGCTGCAAATATAGGAACCTTAGCAAGAAGATCTTCCTTGTCTTTTATATACGCCTTTTTAATCTCTTCGACTATGAATTCGCAATTGGTCGCGGTTTCATGAGCGTGTTTCTCAGATTTAGTCAATTGTTCCTAAATAAAAATTTCAGCGATATCATCACGTCAGAAATGTAACCTTGGAAAATTAGAAAGAAAGTTCTCGTCACATTAGTGATATTACAGTTACTGATGTTCCTCACAACTAACTGAAAACATTTGATTTTTGGCGCACCTGAAGGAATTTCCCTCCCAACGGTTTACCGCCTCATCGTGGCTGGGAGGTGTTCCTGGGTGTCGAACTGCGATGTACAGCGGGGAATTCATCCCTGGCAGAGTCTCTCAAGCTGAGAAGGAGTCTGGCGTTTCCTTCAGGAAGCCTAGCTAAGAGTAAACCAATACCAGGATGCACCACCGTCTTGGTATCAAAGTGGCATAGTGGTAAATCTCCCACTGATCTACAAGGGCTGCGACTGCCCGTGGTGGTGAAGACCTGGGACAGAATTTGGTGAGACTGATCTCGAGACTCCAGGGATCCATAATGGATTAACCAGCAAATCTCCGAAAAATGGAGATTATGCTGGGGCCCACATAACCTTTGAGGACGGGCTATTCAAGTATCAAGTATCAAGTAGGAAGGAATTTCATACATTTTACCTACAACCAACCGATTTGCTTTTAGCATTGATTATGGATTGCAACTCGCTACGAATCACAGCCATCTGTTTTTCCAAAGTGGACGAATTATTCTTGAGCTGCTCAATCAAGGGCGAGACGCTAGTAGCTTCACGAGGAGCCGTCTTCACAGCCATCTGTTCTTCCAAGGTGGACGAATTATTCTTGAGCTGCTCAACCGACGGTGAGACGTTAGTAGATCTACGAAGAGCCGTGTTTCTCAATCTGTGCTCATGCAATGGTAAAGAGGATCTGGAATAAAAACGTGTTAGAAAATTGGATGTCAGCTAAAAAAAAGCTCAAAGGCTTAATCACTCACCTAGAGCCATTTAAATTACCTTTGCGACCCTTCGAAGTAGCTGATGAATACGGAACGCGTATGGGCACAGGAGCAACTGTAGTGGAAGACTGCGCGCTCTTCTTATCTTTATCTGATGGACCAGTAATTCGCAAAGACGTCGTCTTAGAACCTGAAACCAATATACGTTAGTGAATACACCATATTTTGAAAGTTTGCAATTTTGTGTTGCATTCCGGCTGAAAGAATGCAATCACCGTAAACAGTGGCTAATCTAGACGAAGTTTTTCATAACACATCAAAACCGCGTTCACGTCAACACAAGTTTGTCAATGAGTATCGTTTCATTTGAACAGCTAACAGCCCGAATCGGAAGTTTACGGTTGAGGAGATGTGGATGAGTACCGGCTTTGACAATCTTCGTCCTTTACGCGCCAACATCAAATTATGACGAAGAAGAAGGCGAATCGTTCGATATGGACTTGGAGAAGTTCTACAGAGAAGACCATTCGTTCTTCAAGTTTATTACCGGTGTTTTTAACGCAACGATTTGACCAAGAAGAACGTCCGAAAAACTTCATGTTGGATCTCACGGATTTAAATGAAACGAAAAGGCTTAGAAGGCTTTAGGTGGGAGTCTCCCAATAGAGAGTGCCATAATGAGGTCGACCATATTACAGTAAATCGAAGATTTTGCTTAACTGACGTCTTCGTTGTCCCAGGATTTTACACGGGATCTTTAGTAACTACTCCTCAAATGGTTCATATTTTCCATACTAGCGTGTGTTTCCTACATTGATTGTCTACTTGTAATTATCTTAAATCTATCCTAGTATCTTCTATAAATTGTCTCTTAGCCACGATCTCATACAATTGCCTCGCAGCTGGCTTGAAAGAGTTTCTGTAACTTCTTTGTATAAAGCGATCTTCTTTGCTCGCCAGCTCGAACACTAAATGGGTAGCTGTGAGTTGCGGATAGTTTGCAGCATCTACCGTCCCAATCAAATTTTCGTATAAGCCACTGTATCGCTGTCAAGTACACTTTCTGTATAAGCCTTTATATAACCATCGTGAACTTTCTATGCAAGCAGCTCTATCAGATTGTGGTAGTGGATAATTTTTTAGAACCTCTCTCTGAGCACTGTTTCTTTCAACAAAAGCCCTGCCCATTACAGAAGGAATATAAGGAGCACTACTTGTCATTCAGTAGGTGCCTGTGTTTCATTATCGAGGTCCCAGTTGCAGCTTCAATGCTCCAGTGTCTCCACATTCCAGTGCCTCAATCCCCGGTGTCCCAGCTCCTGTGTTGCATTGCTTTGCCCTACTTCTTTCATGTGTTTCATTCATTCTTATCTCAATTCTTAAATTGCCATTGTCAGATTGTGTATATGGTATTGTTGTTATTGCAATAAACAGTTATAACTAAACCTTGAGATTGTTCCCTGTGCGCAAGTCAAAATGTCGAATGTGGCGAGCTCATACAAAGTTCAACATTCTACCTCAGGTTAGTAAATATTCTGTGCCAAGTCTGACCCAAAATCCTATATTCCACTGCACTAACTAGCACATTTGGTGCTTTGGACAATCCAAATCGAACTCAACGCTCAGCGCAACTATTCTGCCATTCCACCGCGCCAGCTAGTACAGGACCAATCCATCTTCTCCTTGGTGGAAGAATTTATAACTTCAATGATGCTGAGATATTGGCAAAATTTCGGACCGTAGGTGTCTGCGGTGGGGAACGAACGCGCTATTGTCCTTTCCGACACCTGCGGTAAGGAGTTTTGCCAATATATCAGCATCATTGAAGTTATATTTCGCAATATACCCTCCATTAAAAAGAGTAGGCAGTAAATAGAACGGTTAAGAAGAATTTATATTTCGTGAAAACAGAAAAAGTCATTGAAATAGAAGAACACCAAGTTTCAAAAAAGAAGTAAAATAGAACTTATTCAGTCTATTAGTTAGGTGTTGGAAACATGCTGTTCTTGATAACATCGACGAGAAATACGATCTACTCAATCCACATCTTAAGGTTTGCGCTTTGAAAGCTGGTAGTGTGAAAGTCACCAAGATACGTCTTTCTCCAGAAACTATATAGAACCGGTGCAGACAAATGATATTAAAAAAAACTTAGAGAGAGAAAATGAGCAATTCCAGACTACACTGCAGAGGCTACGAAAGGCATTCGCAGAGCCAACCAAAGCTTCGCTAGTTGAAGAACTACGACGATTATGCTTCGACGCCTAGACGGAAACGCTGCAGCTTCCAGAAAACCGCTATAGGAAATCACTTGCGATTACTTCTTAGATCTCTTCAATAGCCACGTATGAAACCTATACGTATAGCCTCCGGCGCTCGTATGAAGTAGAGCGAAATGGATACATCGCCCTACCTGTTCTCCCTCCCGAAATCCTAAATGTTATTTCGTCGGTGAAGAATCGAACCGCGTCTACATCTGAGAGGACAAGATTTGAACACCTAAAGAGCCTTTTGCCTGCCTTTATCATCAAAGTGGCATGGCTGCTTCTGCGTTATCTGTCAGAGTGCAGAATCCCACTCAGTGGAAGACGAGTAAGGTCGCGCTATTATTGAGGAAACATGACTTTCACGATGTCGGTAACTATCGCCAAATCTGCTTACTGTCTATGCCCAACAAACTCTTCACTCTAGTCATCCTGAATAGGACTGATAAAACACTAAACGAAGACTAACATTGTGGGTAAGCAGAGTTTCGAAGAGAACTCAGAATGATGGACGACATCCACACGATAACATCTCAATGGTGCGTCGCAACAGTCCGAAAGGCACCTCTCTATCACATTCATCGATTTAAGGAAAGCTTTTAACTCAGTGGGCATAGAAGCAGTTATGGAAGGTCAAGACAGCGAACGAGCCCCTACTCAGCACATAAGGATTTTTCGTGAGTTATATGGGAATTTCACAATCAAAACATCACCATTCTAAGTGATAATTGCATCAAAGTTTTTCGACAAGATTATTTACCGCCATCCTCGTGAACGTCATTGGACAACTAGAATGCGACAACACGGGAGTGAACGTAGAAGGTTGACAATTACACCATCTCGGCCTTGCTGATAACATCGTCCTTATAACACCAAACATTGACCAAGCAAAACGAATGCGTGTCTACTTTGATAAAGCCTGTGAAACGATTGGTCTTCGACTAAATCTCACAAAAACGATGCTCATGAGGAACGGAATTGTTTTGTATGTCCCATCCACACTCAACGGAACGAATGTCTCTGAATGTTCCAGTTATATCTATCTAGTTCGGGAAATCAATATGATGAACGACTTAGCTCCAGAGCTGAGCCGGAGAAAGCGAGTGACAGTGGAAGCTTTCAACAGCATCAAGGATGTAGACAAAAGGACAAAAAACATTCATCTTCGCTCCCATCTTTTCCAATCCACGACTCTTCCTGGCTTAACGCATGCGTAAGAAACTTGGTCGTTGCGTCATCGGAATGGAAGATCACCCAGTGTTATTGAACGTGTAGCAATAAGAACGATGCTATGAGTGTCATCTATCATCCAAGCGACGGAAGGGACGCATTACTCGGTTCTACGCCAATGATAGGGCGCGTGTGGGGCAATGGTTGGAGGCGCCACTGCGACACACACGTGAGATCGATCGCCGTGCCCATGACCCGCCAAGCCCTTCATCCCTCTGGGCTCGGAAAACTGGTACAAGGCTTGTCTGGGAGAATAGTAGCACTGACTCTATATATCGGTAGGCCACCATGAGCCACTGTAAAAGGCCAGATATGCATTCAATCACCTCCAACGATGCTTAATGAAGTCGAATGCAAGGCTCATCCCTCAGGGATTGATCAACGTCGAAAGCTTTATCATTTCCATCCTTTGTATGCCAATGATCAAAAATCAAAGACGCCGTTGTGTAAGCCAAACTTTCGAAGACGAGGTGGTCCGGAAACGTAATGCATATAAACGGGAACCGATCGGCGAGAGACGTTCGTGATCTGATTCGCTTGAATGTTAAACGCACTGTAAAAACACCATCGACCCGTTGGTCAGAGTTTTTTAGAAAAATTCTAGAAGAAAATACTACGCTCAACGATCTCCTACAGCAAGCAGAACCCACCGAACCACCCATGCAGAAGCCAAGGAAAAATGGATGATTTATCAGCGCCTGTCCAGATCACTCGACGATCAACAAGACCACAGGTGGTACATGTGACACGTAATGCGATTCCAAGATATAGCCATAGTTGATTATAATAACAAAGTCATTCCTAAGAAGAAGGGAAGAACAATTGGTGTATCGTGTTCTGCAACATCGAAATCAAAGGGTCTTATTCGTGGTCACTGTAGCACCACCGTATGACCTTAGAACATTACTATATTCTTCCGAAAACTACGGTTCTTTCTCCTAGCCGTTTCTATTTGCAAGGGAGCGGCTACACACTAATCGCGATTTACGAACGCGCGGTTAATTCGCGATTATTCCTTATGCTATAACACGAACTGATGTGCACTTTCACTTGCCTTGTAATGCTAATAACGCAGATGTTTTTCTCAGGTTTCTTAACGCCACTTATCCACTTAAGTGAAAGACAAACCTGATTGTTGTTTAGATTTGAATGGAACGCCCGCCTTCAACTCTTTCACTTTCTTTGCAGTACTCATTTTCTGCAATTGTTAAAACGGTTTTAGTAATAAATAAACAAAATCCTATTTTTTTCAATGCTTAGGAAAGTAGGTAGAATCGAGTCTGAAAATCACAGTTACCAGTCACATACATCATTTAAATTTATATACGTCAGAACTGAACTGCATCGGTGACAACGCTTGTTCTTCATGAACGATGAGGTGAGCTTATCGATGGTTCTGTCTCGTACGTGGTCCATACTCATTTTTGTTGCCAAATTTCCAGAATTAAACTTCTTAGGAACCTTGTTAATAGCCGGGCACAGAAATCATTGAGCATGCTATTCAGATCTTCGACCCATCAGTAAGGAATGCTCAGATGCTTTCAGTGGTGTATTCCTCCGATTGGAAATGAGGAGATGACTTGACTTTCATAAATAGGGCAGCTTTTAAATCAACAACGTATACACGTTTACAAGCGGGAACTAATATTCTCACATTAAGTGCTTTTAAAGTGTTTCACTAAACGAAGGTAATCATGTCTAATAAGAAATCTATGACATGTATTAGGAAAGCAACGTGTTTCTCCATAAAATATTTCAATGTAAATATACACTATTGATCGCTAACTGATCACAGGAAAGTCGTAATTTCGAATAGTTCGAGGTTAACAACGGCGTCTCCTCGACGAGCTGCCACAAATATTATAAGGTGGCCGCTCGGATAGAGAACATTAGGAAAATATAAAGTTGTGTTTATGAAATTAATATGTTTGAGTATTCATAGAATGGACTTGAAAAAAAGAGTTTCAGTTTTATGTCGTTGGCCAAGTGTGCATGCAGTGCTCCGCATCTTCTGTACAAGATGATGCCTCGCAGTATTAACCACCTACCAACAGTCATAGTGGCCGACAACGTGCTATTAGGATGCTCCGCTTATTTATCATTACAACAACAAACTCACCAGCGACCAAGCGGTGGTACTCCACGTCAAAAATAGACCTCACTTCTTATAGCGAATCCAATTCCGTTTATTATCAGCATAATCACACAGTATTTTGTCAAATGCATATTATAAGCTGAAGCTAAATTCATTTAGTATCAGACGATATGGCTCGTATGTCGCGATGTAATGCTTGCATTCCAATCGATGCTGAAAATTGATATGCAACTGTAAATGGATGATGGCACGTGTGTGCGCAGATCTGATACAGAACAGAGTTATGTGTTTAAAACAATCTAGAGATACCCGGAGTGCAAGAAACCTTTTATGATGTTGGCTTTTTATTCACTGCTTTTTCCAAGGTTTCACAGCGGGGTATTATTTGTGAAACAACTACAATGATGGTGAGATATTTGCAAAGCTCCGGACACCAGATGACTGCGGTGGG